CTGTAAATCACACTTCTTGCTTTGTCGCTGCTTGATCTTCACTCTGGGTTGGGCTTTTCATTGCTAACCTTTGTTGACTTGACATGTTCTCGGTAACACGTTGCGTGGGCTGTGGTTAGTTTCTTCTGGCCTCATCACAGTTTTGCACTTTATACATATATATACTCCATACGTACTCCAGTACAGCCTGTAATCTACTGATTTGTGCTTCTGAACAGGACGTTTTCATTTTGTCTTCCTGAAAAATGATTTGTCTGGTCCAATATGATGTCATATGTATTGATTCATGCCCATGTACTCAAAAAGAATATTTTTCACTTTTAAAATGGAAAAAAATGCGTATATTTCGAGAGTGGAGTTGTTGCTGGTGGAGTGACTCATTTTGCTGAAAACACTAGAGGTTTAAGTTAACATCATAAACATCACACATTCTTTGTATTGTTTTTTTTTTTTTTAACATTTTATTACTTTCATAGCGTTGAGCATTAAACACTGTGGTCAAGATGAGAAAAATCTTTGTGGGTTAAAATACATAAAAAATACTCTGGTTTCTTGATTTCAATCGTACGTGCTGCAAACACAAAATGGACTTCCTGTGAAAATAGTCAGGAATTCATGCTGACTGTCATGAAAAAGCGCAACAGTTTCTGTTCATGGCCATGAAGAAATAATTGCTTTTGCAATTATTTCCTGTTTTGCATGCTCATGCCATTTCAAGTAATGTAGAGTATAAGAGCAGGGTGCATCGCCATCTTTGTCTCCCATTCTCTCCAACATGAACTGAGGTCAGGCAGTTTTTGCAAAAATACCTTAAAAAAACATTTTCATTTATTTCTTCTGTCCTTCGGATAATTAAAAACAGGACTATTTGATTAGTAGCTACAATGTGAACTGTACAGTTTCCATTCCAATTACAACAAGCTGCAAGGTCACTGTGAAATATTTTAGTGCAATGACAACAGGCTGGATTCAAAGAGTATGCAGGCACCCGGGTTGAATCTCATTTATAAAAGTAGCTCCAACTTCTTTTGTGACGTCCCGCTTGCCAGCTTGTACGCTGCCGACAGCTGAGATTTGAATGAGGTCTGTGACGTCACGAAGGAGGAGAAACAAACTCTCA